TGGTAGGGAAAAAATAGAAGTTTTGTTTCCAAATGACAAAAGATACAGGGCAAAACAGTCCAAGGAAAACCTCATGTATTGAAAATAAGCCTGTGACTTCATAAATAAAGCTCTGGAACAAGATATACCCATCAGCCTCCCTCCTTAAGAGAAGGATCTGATCTTCTGTGGTGCCAGAATAAAACAGACTTCATCTATTGCAGATTTATGGCTAATCTTCCAGATTTCATTTGAAAGAACAGGCTCAGCATATGCATATACCAACTGTATGCACAAAGACCACCACCCATGCAAGATACAGTTGCCAACTGGTGCAGAAAGAAAATACAAGCGGAGCTAAACACAGTTCCTTATTTTTTCCACCCTCTTACAGTGTGCAGGTCCCTTCCTACTAACCTTAATTACTTTCAGAGGAAATCAATATACGGTAGATTAGACAGCTTTCAGACACTGAATATTTGTTCTTCACTAGCATTTGAGATCTGCTTTTTGAAAAGACAACACTGAGTCCCTTAGAACTCAAATAATTTACTCAGGTGATGCAACTGAATTATTCCAGTTCCTCTTAGCAAATACTTAGGACATGGGTGGAAATAATGAATGCACGAGCATCAAGGAAACATGAAAGCCCAAATCATACCATGCTGCCAAGGCTCTACACTTATCACACATTCCATGCTCATTACTAAACGCCTGGGCATCTTATTTCTGATTTGCCTTTCTGCTCTAACATTCCTGTCATCAGTTGAGATGTTTTGATGAACACCCCTGTGAAGCAGCAGCAAGCCTATGAGAGCTACAGAGTCCTTAGCCACTAAGTCCGAGTTTGGACCAGGCTTGAACACTCTCAGGAATTATCAAAGCAGTGAGAAAACAGACATCCAACTGACAGCAAACAAGTAAAAACTAATGTTGTGCCCAGAGAACGCATTGAACTTGTTAATAAAATCTTTCCTTCCCATCTGACCACATCAGAGTTTGGAAAACTCTGCATTTCTCAGCTATGTACCTGGGTTCCTTGCACTCCCACCAGATCATCAGGATCTTCAGGAACAGAAGTGCCCAGTTCACTAAAGCCAGACTTAACATCCCTACCAAGCACTCACAAAGGAACTGAACCCCCGTTTTCCAAGGGAGAGGAGAAATAAAGGCCACTGTTGTTCTAAACAGCATTTCAAATGGCCTTTTACACCACTTTTCCCCCCATAATTTTCCTTCCCGTCAGACTTTCACTATTTCAAAATATATCTCTAACATGCACAATACCAACCTCTTAATTTTTATTCCTTGCAAGACCATTTCCCTCACTATCATGTAAATGAGCCTCCCTGGAGCTCTTAAGCATTATTATACATCATGGCAGTTGTATTACTCTCTGCGCACTATAAAAGCAGTCCAAGACTCAATTACTATTCACAGATGAACAAAGTATACAGTGCATTTACTGAAGTTATGGCTGCTTAAGGTATATAGCCTCTACGTTGTACACGTTTACTTATGAAGTGCCTTGAAAGAGAAAAGCATGGCTGTTGAAGGACGTTCCTATAGACAATTTAGGTTTGTCAATAAATGCCACGCTTCTATGCAACGTTCGTTTCAATGAATTGATTCCATTCATAGCTGCAACCCTGACATTAGCCCTGTTCTTTCCTGTTGCTTAAAGAACTTCAATGAGAGGTCTAAATTCAACTAAATAGTGACTCGAGGGACATCTGAAAGAAACTAATTTTAAGTCACAATCTAAAGCCTTTTGTTTGGAGGCTTCCAGAGGTAGTCTATTGGTTTTCTTCCCCAGTAAGAGCATCTATACTCACGCAGGTACTATGTGTTAAATGCTTTTAGTGTGGCTGAGAGGACTGAGGTACTTTCAGACGTATTCATATGAAATATGATCATTTGCATCCTGCAAATTCCCCAAAACCTTCACCCCAGCCAAATAAAAACGTGCTGTCTAAAATTTCTCAGCCTAAGTACAGAGCTACTTTCATTATTATGCAGTCCAAGTGAGTAGCTTCGGCATCAAAAGGTGATGATATACGGTCTGTAACAAAAACCAGAGCAGAGAAGTCTGCAGGTGTAAGCAGGAACCGTTATTTCTGAAAACACAGTGTAAATATAATAATCGGGACATCCTTACCCTATTAAAAATCCCCAAGGAACTGCTCCACAATTCAGTTGAATAAAAACGGAAGGTAAGAGGCAAGCCAAAGGTATACCTATGTCTTTGAATCTGCAGTCTGCACGAGGAAAAAAATCCATCAGCTTGAGACATTATTATCATAGCCAATAGTTCTTGGGTTTTACTTTACTCCTACAGCTAGCTGAAGTTAAACTCTTAGGGACCATTGCCTACCTTCCTCAGTACTATGGTATTCGTAATTGAAGCTACTAACATTGAGGAAAGAATTGTAATGAACCACAAAGAGTTCTATATTCCTAGCACTTAGGCTTGCAGTACTCTCCAAGCTTTCTCAGCAGACTGGCTCTGTCTTTATAAGCAGGAAGAAAAAGTATTGTACTAAGACAATATTTCTGAATAGTTCCAACTGCACTCCAGCGTATACTTCACCCAGTAATTGCCCTATTAAATGATCATCTGTGGCAAGATAAACATCATTTGTATAATGCCTCACCAGTTCTCCAAATATTTAGCAGTAGATTTGCAGTTTTGTGGTCAGTCACCTCCCAGCCATGCACTTAAGGACCTCGTGCTAGCAGCAGTTCTGGTATTCAGTCATTGTTCTACAGCCTGGGGTACAGAACATATGGCACAACAACCGTGTCCTAGAAAAGGTTGCAACTCTCCAGCAAGAGCCACAGATCCTGCAAGCACCTGACTCATTAATCTGCAACAAAAACTAAATTACCTCACTGCAAGAAAGCAGCCCCAAGGCCATCTATTGGCCATTTCAGTCTGTTCTCTGAATCTGTGAAGACCTCCATTTCTTTGTTGTATTTTCCATGTAGAGGGCTCACCTTGAACCTCATCCAACAGCTACAAAGATTCAGCTGTCAGGGGTTTAATATTCAGTGCAGGTGCAGACAACATCTAAGAGCTCAGGTACCCTCTATCAGTCTACTGCTGCTGAAGAGCAACGGTTCTGCCCTGTAACACACTCCTAGGGCCCAGCCCTTCCAACCAGAAGGCAGGTTCGTATTTAAAGCACTGAAGTACTGCCAGACTTGAAGCTATGCTGTTGTTGGTTTTGTCTCGATTCCCAAGCTTACTACACGAAGGGGTAACTGTGGCACCAGTGTTCAGCACCACCAACACACAAAGCAAGGAATAAATCAGAAGCTAACTAGTTATGTTACACTAAAAAGCAAACATTTGCTTTCATGGAGGCAAGACAGACCAAGAAGCAGGAAACAGACAAGAGGAAATGAAAGAAAATTATCGATACTATTCCTATGCAAGGCTTAAACCAGTTTCACACATCTAAAATTGAATATTAAGCCCTACCCTTCAATACCTCTCTGGAGTAAGGGTTACTAATAACCTACAAACCCAAATATCCTGCTGTAGTCCAGAAAAATGCTTGTACACTGGATCCTGCTGACATCCTCTCCGCTACTGCCACTGACTTTGAAGGACTAGAACTCACAGTACTTCTACAGGCATTGCAACATTCAACGTGATGGCAGCAAGAAAGCCATTTCAGCTCCTCCAGCTCCCTTCTCCTTACCCCTAGAGAAGTAATGATGCAAGTGCTGCAGGCTAACCAACTGCTCAGTTCCCACAGTAGCATCAGAAGCTAACTGCATCTATGCTGAAGGGCTAACAACCACCCAACAGCGGAACTTGCATATTAACATTACCATTCAATCAGCCAACTTTTAAGGTCGCGCTCCTTTGTGCTCTTTTTAAGACTTATTTCAGTCTGTTTAGCTTTCCATGAAAAACCCTTATCCAGCAGGACATTCAGTTTAGAAAAGGTACACACACCTGCATCAGTTTACACAATACCCCTGAGTGAGCTTGGACAGAACATCTCGAGTTCTTTACAGGATCAGGACTTCACTGCGTAAGTTCATAAAAGCTGACCAGTATTCAGACTAAATTCAGAAGGGCACAAGCTTATCAGGCAGAGAAGAATACATCATTAAGCCACACATTTAAAAATTCTCAATTTATGAATTCTGAAAACAAAGAATAAAGCCAATTGTTTGAATCATTATAAGGAAATGCAGCTTCTGAGTTTGACTAAATTTGTGAAGCTCAGCTCTGTACTACCAAAAATCAGGAAGACAACAGAATTAGAGGGAAAAGCAACAGTACAGAACTCAGAGTCCTGAGTTCTAATGAAAGTAGCTCTGTCTCATTGGAGCAGACTAAGAACACTGCAGCTTGCTGAAAGAAGAGTTGCATGAATGGTAAGCTGCTTACGTGAACAAAAAGGTTAAGGAATCAAATCTGCCACTTGCAAAAAAACATCTACAGATTATCAGAAGTCTTGTTATATTCTCTCTCACCACTGCAACATGCATTTCTGTTGAAATGCTGTGTATTTTCCTCTATTTTCTGGAGATCAGAATGATCACTAAACATCTTCATATTGTCCCATTTTTAATTTTTACCAGCCCAGCCTTTAAATGACAACTGTTACAACTGTGAGCCATAGTGTAACTTAAGGAGTTTAAAACAGTTTCACAGTTAACCATGACAGAAATAGTGCTGTTCAACTAACACCTTCCTAAAAAGATAATTTAATTCCATGTGAGAGTTAACTAACTACTCACTAACACTTCTCCCTGAGCTCCACCTGCCAGTGCTGTTAGGAGCTAAATACTTGCAGGTGACATGTTTCATTAGTGGTGGGACTTCCCTCTGTGTTTCCATCAGCTCTGGGAACAAGATGAAAGCTGTGGGGAGACTGAAAAGTTCCTTTTACATACTTGCATACATTACAGCACACCTTTTGTCTTCAGTGGTTAAAACAGCTTCACCGTTCGTGAAAGCAAAATACCTGTAATAAAGCACCTCATGACCCATTTCTTACCCATGTAGACAGTCATCCCTAGAAACCTCCAGCATTTCTTGTACCCAGCAGGGAGCCATCTCTCACTGCCACTCTTCTTGCAGGTCTGAACAAACCACCTCAGGATGGATAAAACACTCAAGAAGCTGGGCAATGTCAGTTTTGGCAGGTTTTCAAAGAAACTGCAGATCCTCCTGTGGCAGCTGAAAAAAAAGGGGGACAAATCAACATAGAACTCATTTGTCCAGCAGAAAGTGAGCTCTCATTTTACACCACTTTTAATCTATTCATGTATGTTAATAGTTCACTTGTTAATACCTTACAGCTGAAAGTGCACCTTCCAATGGAAACCATTTCTGCCTAGTAAAAGCATAAAGTATACATTTACTTACATTGCTGTAGTCACATATAACAAACAACCTTAAGACGAAGCACGATTTTCCTTGCCAGCTTAACTATACAACAGCACTACTGTTTTGTCCTGCAGGCTGTTATCGATTTTGCAAGTTGATGTATGGCTTGACCAGCATATGTTAATTAAATGCTGGATCCATTTTTGGAGACATCAATTGCTTCTTCTCTAAGAGAAGAACTGCATACACTGCATAACACTCTGTCTGCACACAGAGCAGTTGCTTAGCACAAACACCTGAGGCTTATGGAATTACAAAGTTTCACATGGGTATACATTATTTTAACACTTGTTTCAAAATCAGAACAAAAGAAGCTTTCAGCTTCCACTGAATAAGCCTCAATTATGGACTATATCAAGAGCAAGAAGTGTTATTTTGTCATGGCAAAACCTTTGATTCCAATTCCTTACAGATCTACTTAATTACGTCTTAAGAAGCCATACACAACAAGCTCACTTCATAAACTATTTTACGAAGGGACTCCACGATCTTGCAACTTCAAGAACCAACATAAAAGAAGCCATCTTCCAAGCTTTATACCTCAACCTCACTGCAAGTGGAGGCTAGACCTGTTTCACAAGGCATTTAAGTTTATGTAATGGCAGAAAACCAAGTTATAAATAGCTGCTGTCTCAAGTAATGCTCAGAACACGCTTTCCCCACCATCTATATGCTGGCACCTCCCAATTTTGGTATCTGACCTTATCTTTTTTTATGTTTAGTTCCAATCTGATTTCCATTCACTGCACTAAACCCCCTTAGCTTGTAAACAAGATAGTAAGTCACTTACCTTTCCTGGTCTGAGGAGCTTTTGTACTAATGAACCCCTTCTTTCCCCAGCACTCTTTTCTAGGTTTTCATATCTAACTCAATCTGCAGCAACTCTGTAAGTGAAAAAATCTTACAAGTATTTATTGTTGTTCTTTAGGGTTTTACTGTCCCTGCATTTATGCCAAGTTATTTTTGAAGTTGCACTGAAATGCAGGAAAATCACCTACAGAAGAAGGAAGACACCCTGAATTTTAACTGACAGAGCTGAAATAGTTCATTATTTTTATTTCCTCGACAGTTATGTCTTCTATCTTTCATACATAACGCCTGTCCAGAAGTTGATTCTAAATGGTATCACAAAACTCTATCACATAAATACAATTAACACCTGTATCTGCATTTTCCCTTCTTGTTTGAGCCACAGCTTACCTTGATGCATGTACTTCTTCCATTTTGATAACTACTTCATCTACTAAATCTATTTCTACATAAAGTGACTAACATGGTACTAGTTAAAAATATAGAATTTTTATATGGATAAACTGCAGATATGCTGCTGGTTGTTTTGATTCAAAGATCGAAGCTGAAATTCCTTTAAGTGGTATATTCTTTATTGCAGCGCTGGATGCACGGGGGATCTCTCCACCTATCGTGCATACCCAGAGCGGAAAGCAGTCTTGAATTTATACAATCAATCTATCAATATTCTACAAGCGCCTATACATATGCATTACCTATCCCCGCCTTCCCTCGCTTCTCATGCTAATTAGCCTTTTGGCACCTTGCGCCTGCGTAGAGCCTCCCAAGAATTGTGGGCAGGGGTCTTTGGGACGTGGGCAGGGGTCTTTGGGAGGAAGACCCCGAGTCTTCCTCCCAGTGTACTTTTCACCTTTGGTCAGGAATCTGCTGAATTGGCACGTTTCTTAATTGCGAGAGCTGGTTGTTGCCAATTCTTCCGTTTGTTGTATCTTTATAATGAATTCCAATGTCCAATTTTGAGATTTATAGTCCTTACATTTGTTTCTCTGTCCGTCTGCCGCTTCCTTATCATGAGTTCCAGTGTCTTGTTTCGAGATATACAGTCCATGTCTGGGGATTGTCCTTGCCTCCCCAATGCCTCCCCAATACCTCCTTAATCAATCCCCCCTTTTCTTTTCCCATGCAAATTCTTTTGCATCAGATACTTTCATTATTTACAGTAACACAACAAAGCAGGCATCTAAACAACATGCACACAAATATTCCTAACACTACTAATGTGATTAGAGCAATGAACACTTGTTCCCACCATTGGAAGTTGGGCAACCAGGCGGTTAACTTATTCCATATTTCACTAAAACTCCATGAAAGATCATCTTTACTGATCTCATGTAGGACCCTTGTCTGCTTCCATATTTCTTCCAGGTCGGTAGAGATCCTTCCACTCTGATCTACATACACACAACAACTTGTGTTTATTACTGTACAGACTCCCCCTTGAGCGGCCAGTAACAAGTCTAGGGCCATCCGATTTTGTAATACTACCTGTGATAAACTAGGTATCTCTTCTTGTTGAGCCTTTATAGCATCCAGAGTTTTGTTTTCTAACTTCTCTATAATTGCAGAAATATTAACTATCGCCTTTTCCAATTCATTCACTCCTAACCATGGGATAAACCATCAAACAAAACTATGAAAAGCGGTGTGTCTCTCTATCAATGGATTGTTAATTTTTCATCTAATTCTCCAGATATGATTTCTCAAGTAACCTCGAGGCACTACATCATGTACTGTCATACTGGGGACTACTGCTCCAAGAGTGCAAGTTCCCTTCCAGTTCTCGGGCAAGACCTTACGGGCTGTATCATTGCATAGCCAATACCACCCTTTTCCTTCTGGAACTGGCCAGCTGGTTGAATTTGCCCAACTGCTAGTTGTACTAATATCAATTGTTTGATTACAAGATGTCCGATTTCCCACATAAGTAGTACCCGTATTTATACAATCCTGTTTTCCCATACCCTTAGGCGGGTTACACCTTTGTACACATACATAGCAAGATTCCAATGGCACGAAGCTACTAACTTCTAGTTCCAAAACTTCTTCATATTTTTGACCCCAAGATGTGTTTTCCCACAAATTAGTCCAAGGTAAGTTTGCAAGCAAGGGAATCCTGATTAACGATACACCCTTATTCCCATGCTCTGGCAGATGGGTGCATACCCAACAGTTCGTCTTATTAATCACTTGAGATACAGTTTGTATTAAGGTCAGGTGTAAGTTCTCATCCCAAACTGCCCTTCCCAAATCTGACAACCATACCCCCACAATCATTAGGATCTGGAAAAATGCAATTTTGCTGGTCCAATTGGGGTCGTGGTCCATATCCTCGCCGGGGCCTTTTTCACCTTTGAATCGTGGATCCAAGCTGCTTGCTCCTTAATCTTAATGGCGGTGCGTGTTGTCAGTAATACCTGGTATGGTCCCGTCCACTTTCCTTCCGTTTTTCCTCTAGGGGTTGTCCTGAAAAAGTCTTTATATATATAATCCCTGAGCTTAAAAGGGTGGATTGGTTGATCCAACCGTCTAGCCCAGGTCCTGAGAACAAATTTATGTACTTTATTTAATTATTTCTGAAGTTCAGTTATATATGCATATAAATATTCTAATCCTAACTGCGTTCGATCCTCTCCACTAAATAGAAATGGATACGGCCTTCCATATAAGATTTCAAAGGGACTCAAATTCCCTTTTATTCTAGGTTTAACTCAAATTCTAAGTAATGCTAAAGGGAGGGATTGAGGTCATGACAAATTAGATTCTTGTCCGATTTTAGCTATTTGTTGTTTAATTAAATGTTTCATTTTTTCTACCTGTCCACTTGCCTGCGGTCTATAAAGAGTATGCAGTTGTCTTTAGAATATCTTTAGAATCTTACTTATCTGTTGTACCACTTGCACACAAAAATGTGAAACTCTATCAGAAGACATTACTACTAGAATCCCAAAGCATGGTATTATTTCATTTAACAAGACTTTAACCACTTCTTCTTGCTTTGTTTGTTCGACAGGGAAAGGCTTCAGGCCTTCCTGATATCATGTCAGTCAGAACCAGTAAATAACAATACCCCCCTTTTCTAGGGAGTTCTGAAAAATCAATTTGCCACAGTTGCCCTGAATAATTCCCTTTATCAATGACACCAAATGTCACCCTATTTCCTGTATTGGGATTATGATGCATACAGGTGTCACATTGTTGGGTTACCTGCCTTATTGTGGTATACAGATTTCTTGCTACCAAGACTCGATTTAATAGTTTATACAGGGCATTGGCTCCCCAGTGGGTTTTGTTGTGTTCCCCCAAAACCATAGGCCACACCAAATTAGAGGGCATAACAACCCTGTTGTCCTTCAAATGAGCCCACCCATCAACATTCAGCTTCCCTTTTAGATCCTCGATCAACTTTAAATCTTCTTTTGAATATTTAGGAGCCTGTCCTTTCTCTAATGTCTGAATTTTACCGTCTGGTATTAAAGCAAGCACTTCCACTTGACCTCTTTCCGCCGCCCTTCTTGCCTCTTTATCAGCCAATCTGTTCCCAATCTCGAAGTCGGTGGATCCTCTTTGATGCCCTCGGCAATGCATAATAGCCACTTTTTCTGGTTGTTTTACAGCCTCTAACAATTTCAAAATTTCTTCAGCATGTTTTATCTGTTTTCCCTGAGCAGTCAGTAATCCACGTTCTTTCCAAATCGCTCCATGAGCATGTACCACGCCGAATGCATATTTAGAATCTGTCCAAATATTTACCCTTTTTCCAGCTGCCAGTTCCAATGCTCTCGTGAGAGCAACTATCTCCGCCTTTTGAGCTGATGTTCCAGGGGGTAAAGGCTTAGACTCAATTACCTGCTGAGTAGTTGTTATAGCATATCCAGCTTTACGTTGTCCTTGTGTAACAAAACTGCTCCCATCCGTGAACCAAGTTTCTTCTGCATCTTCCATGGGCTCCTCCTTAAGGTCTGGTCGGCTGGAATACACAGTCTCCATAGTTTCTAAACAATCGTGAATCACAGGTTCCACCGGAGCATCACTAAGAAAAGAGGCTGGATTCACAATATTAGTTATCACAATTTCCACATCGTCCTGTTCTACCAATATTGCTTGATATTTCAAAAATCTCTGAGGAGATAACCAATGAGCCCCCTTTTGTTCTAAAACTGCTGACACAGTGTGTGAGACAAACACTGTTATCTTCTGCCCCATTGTAAATTTCCGGGCTTCTTGTATATTCATAATTACGGCTGCCACTGCTCGCAGGCAGTCTGGCCATCCTTTACTTACTTCATCCAATTGTTTAGAGAAATAAGCCATTGCCCTTTTGTAAGGTCCCAACTTTTGTGCTAGTACCCCTAAGGCCATACCCTGTCTTTCATAGGAGTATAACCAAAAGGGTTTAGACAAATCTGGTAAACCAAGAGCTGGGGCTCGCATCAACTCCATCTTAAACTTCTTAAAGGCTGCTCGGGCTTCTCCTGTCCATATTAGTCTTATGCAGTTATCTTTAATTAAATCATACAAAGGCCTTACAATTAATCCATAATTGTTGATCCATAATCTGCACCAACCTGTCATTCCTAGGAAAGTTCGTAATTCTTTAACAGTCTGTGGTTCTGGGGTACGACAGATTGCTTCCTTGCGTTCTGTCCCCAATTCACGTTGTCCTCCTGAGATCTCAAATCCTAGGTACGTCACGTGGGTTTGAACCAATTGTGCCTTCTGTTGTGAAACCCGGTATCCATTCATTCCTAGGAAATTAAGGAGGCTCACCGTCCACTGTATGCAGCTTCCCCTGTCTTCGGTAGCAATCAAGAGATCATCAACATATTGCAGCAGGACCCCTGCAGAATTGGGGGCTTCCCAGGATTCAAGTTCCTTTGCAAGTTGATTACCAAAAATCGTAGGGCTATTTTTAAACCCCTGAGGAAGCACTGTCCATGTCAACTGGACTTTTCGTCCTGAGTCAGGATTTTCCCATTCAAAGGCAAAGAGGTTTCGGCTTTCTGGGGCCAAGGTTAAACAAAAGAAGGCATCCTTTAAATCCAGTACGGTAAACCAGACCAACTTGTCCCTTAACTTGGTCAATAGCGTATAAGGGTTTGCTACCACAGGGTGTATGTCTTCAGTGATTTTACTTATGGCCCTCAAATCCTGAACTAACCTATAGCTTTTTTCATCTGCCTTTTTAATTGGCAATATGGGTGTATTGTATTCTGATTCACATTCAATCAATAATCCATACTGTAAAAATTTATCAATTATCTCTTTAATTCCTTTCCTATCTTCTATCCTCAAAGGATATTACTTAACCTTAACGGGTTTCTCTCCTGGCTTTAATTTAATAATTATTAAGGTCACATTTTTGCTCTTCCAGGGACTTCGGTAGCCCAAACTCCTGGACATATTGATCTGTGATCTCTAAAGGTATTTCACTTTTAGGGTCAGTTTGTATTAGTGCCAAGCTTAACACATTTATTAGTTGTTCTTCTCCTATTCTTAATTTCATTTTCCCTTTTTCAACGACAATTTCTGCTCCTAATTGCTCTAATAAATCTCTACCTAAGAGTGCCCATGAGGAGTTAGGCGTATATAAAAATCTGTGTATGCCCCATTGTTTCCCTAACTTGTACTTCAAAGGTTCACAAAAATAAGCCTTTTCGGTTACACCTTGTCCTGGTTTCAGTTAGATTTTGTCTTATTAAACTGTCTTTATCTCAACTCACGGGCTTCACTTTCCATTTCTCTCCCCCGTCTCAGAGAGGGAGGGGGAGGGTGAGCAAACGGCTGCGTGGTGTTTAGCTGCCAGCCGGGTTAAACCACAACACACCTTTTACCCTAACATAATAATTCTGTGAAGGCATTAATGCTTGATTTAGAACTGAATACGTTGCCCCATATCAATAAGAAATTTCACTTCCATTCCTCCCCTAGCTTCATTATAATCAGTGGAGGATCCGCTAGGGTAGATTCTCCAGGTCCCCGTTATTCCTGTTGAAATCAGGGACCAATGATTACCCTAGAAAAAGGCTAGTCAATTTGTCCTCCGAAGCCAGGTCCAAACCGTTTTGTTTTATTTATTTATTTATTTATTTTCATTACATTTCAGAGTTGGTCCAAAAATTCCATAGGGGTTTCTTTTAGACCTTGTTGGAAGCATATTCTCAATTCCCAATTCATCCAGATTTTAGTATTTACTTAGCCGTTCATAATTTTAGGGATGATTAGGGTCTCAGTGGGGTCGGTCAGGGGAATGCAGTTGTCCACAGTTCCCTGAGCGGTCCCATCGGTAATCTGAGCTCGCACATGAACTCAGGTTGTTTTAAGAGTTAACTGTTTTTCTGTTTCCATAACAACTCTCTCTCGGACCCATCATGATCCCTTTGCCCCAAAGGGCTAACACCCATGATTTTAAGATCTCTGCCTAGAGCAGAGGCAGAACTATTAACATTCCTACATCCTCTTTCCCTGCTCATTCAACTTCAAACACCTTTAACACTTTCAACAACCCTTTTAACACTTCCTTTATCTTTCTCCAGCCTGTACTTCTCTAATGCCAACATCAAAGGCTCAGTCAGGGGCCAACTTAATTCCGTACCTTTTCCCACCAAGATGCTGAAACAACATCAGTATACAACATTTCATCCTATTCTCCTTCTCAAAACCAACATTAACTGTAGCAAAACATTAGAGTTTAAAGTTCCATTTAGGGGCCACTTTTCTCCACATTCCAGCTTATAAAGCGGCCACCATTGATTACAATATTTTATCAATGTTTTCCTGTTCACACTTCCACCGGCAGATCCTCCAATATCCTTCCAGTGACTCAAAACACATCCTAACGCACTTTTCTTAGGAATTTCACTGCTTACTCGCCCCCCCATTTTCCAGTTTACACTTTCAGAATACACGTGTTACTTACAAAAGCGTATCACAAAAACGTATCACTCACAAAATTACAGGCACGCAATATCTTTCAGTAGCGATGTCACAAAGCTACTATTACCAGCAATATTGCTAAAATCACAATAACAATAGTCAGAGTCAAATTCTACATGCGATAAGTCAGAAAACCGAACTGTGTAACACCATAACGATATCTTTCTTATAACAATGCCACGAACCTACTATTACCACCAGAAAAATAGCCAAAATCACAGTAACAATAACCAGAGTTAAATACCATACTCCATGAGTCAGAAAACCGAAATAAACAACACAATTCCAGATGGACCTTAAAGCGAGCTCTTTCCTTAAGGTCCCCAAATATACTTATGGTGCTTACCACAAAGTATATACCAAACATTGCCTCGCAGAAGATCACCTTCTGACTTACAGACAGTTCCAGATACATATGGACCCCAAGGTCCCCAGATATACTTGTGGTACTAACCACAAAGTATATACCAAACACTGCCTCGCAGAAGATCACCTTCTGACTTACAGACAGTTCCAGATACAGATGGACCCCAAGGTCCCCAAATATACTTGTGGTACTAACCACAAAGTATATACCAAACACTGTCCTGCAGAAGTCACCTTCCGACTTACTGGACAGTCCCAGATGACCGGTCTACCAGAAAACCAAACCAGAATAAAGAATATACTCACTTACAATGATGGGGTCCTTGTCTGCCTCCGCAGTGATTCGGTGAGTCGAGGAGTCCCTCCGGGAAATCCCGGGGGTACCCTAGGGAGTCCTGTCCCCAGCGGGTCCTGCGGTCCGGCAGAGAGGTCGTCCCATCTGGGGTGCCAGATTGATTCAAAGATCGAAGCTGAAATTCCTTTAAGTGGTATATTCTTTATTGCAGCGCTGGATGCACGGGGGATCTCTCCACCTATCGTGCATACCCAGAGCGGAAAGCAGTCTTGAATTTATACAATCAATCTATCAATATTCTACAAGCGCCTATACATATGCATTACCTATCCCCGCCTTCCCTCGCTTCTCATGCTAATTAGCCTTTTGGCACCTTGCGCCTGCGTAGAGCCTCCCAAGAATTGTGGGCAGGGGTCTTTGGGACGTGGGCAGGGGTCTTTGGGAGGAAGACCCCGAGTCTTCCTCCCAGTGTACTTTTCACCTTTGGTCAGGAATCTGCTGAATTGGCACGTTTCTTAATTGCGAGAGCTGGTTGTTGCCAATTCTTCCGTTTGTTGTATCTTTATAATGAATTCCAATGTCCAATTTTGAGATTTATAGTCCTTACATTTGTTTCTCTGTCCGTCTGCCGCTTCCTTATCATGAGTTCCAGTGTCTTGTTTCGAGATATACAGTCCATGTCTGGGGATTGTCCTTGCCTCCCCAATGCCTCCCCAATACCTCCTTAATCAGTTTCTACATGCATAAGCCACTTCCCTACCCACCTGCTTGCTCTGTTGATTAACACACAGATCCATTTTCAAGCAGGCAGAAGCTCAAGCACATACACCTCATTCCAGACCTGAAATGAAAACATAAATGTGAAAGCAGCCAGTAAACTAGAGCAACAAAGAAACAAGCAGTTGTAAACAGAGGGGTTATTTTGTATCTGCCTCTAAAGGAAGCTGCAAGCTCTCAGCAAGCTCCCCAAGCCATCCACCCTTGAGTTTATCCTGCAAAACTGCTGCAAATAGGCTAAAAATACGCACCCACCATCCTGCTGCTTCCCAGTTACCACTTATTGCCCTAGCGAAGCAATCTACCCTTACATCCTCAGTCCTAAACACCCAGAAACCATACTGCAAATTCAAAAAGAGAAAAAAACAACATTTTCTTAAAGCTGTTTTAGACACATGCGTGCCCCCAAAATGGCCGCACCCACATGGCTGCTCCAAAATGGCCGCCCCCACAACATGGTGGCAGCGGTGGCCTGTGTGGGGTTTGGTCTGTGTGATGGGCGCTGAGCTGCCTGGCCAGGCATCTGCTGCATTGCCCTCAGACTATTGAGGGAAACATTCCTGAGAACTAATTCAGTATTAGTGATTAAAGATCTGGGAGTGTGTCAAAATTTAGTGTTTTTTCTTCGAAGTTTACCAGCGTAATTCAGTTTGCTCTCTTGTTCTGTAAAGCTCGCTTTGGCCATCAATAATTTATGAGTTGCTGTGTACTTTGTGTAGTAATTGGGTAATGATTGTAGTTGGGGAAAAGCAAAACAACGCAAACAAAATCAGCGCTTGCTGCTCTTACAGCTCTATTGGATTAGGGACTACCTGAGAGTATGTTTAAATTGCTGCATTACTTGCTCATATAAAACAAATCTTTTGACGTTTAGCTGTTCTTTCTGCAGCTTCATAAGGTGGCTGCTGCCCTACTTTAGGTATGAAGTGTTTGTGTAAACTCCTGTACTTTAGGGAGTTCTCACCTGGGTGGAGATGAGAAAGCGCTGGCAGGCTCCGACCTGATAGAAAGTGCAGGGTCTGAAACCTGGTTTAATGCATTTGAGCACTAAAGCTGGAGTCCTAAATCTGGTTATTTTTCCATCTAATAGTAGGGTGTTGTGGGCTTTATATTAAGGCATATTATTGGTACTGGAGTGCAGAGTACCTTTATGTTGATTAAGAATATTTTAGGATTCTTTATTCTCACCTGAAGTTGGAATGAAGTGGTTCACTGAAAGACAGGTTTGCAGTACTCCATGAGGAGGGGATAGATCTGGTCAGGAACCTGCCTTCAATCAACACATACTTGGTCAAACGAAAGCCACTTCAGGAAGCCCCCTGGAAAGGCAGCACATGGTATGGGCACTATAATGATCAGGCACAGGAAAAGCAACAGGTTTGATTTTTCTGCAGGCAGCTGACCAGCTGTAGGATTTTCACAGCAGTATTCATTGCAAGGCAGAATTTTAACCTTGGCCTAGAGGCTTCAGGATGTTTAACAGCGTATTTAACCCTGTTCCTGGTGGGACATTTGGAACTTATTAAAGTAACGTAAAAGCTTTTGCAGGGGAGTTATCTTAAAATGATGTGCTGCATGGTGTGAAATATATGTTTAACAGAGGATCAGTAGTCCTTTGAGGGGCAGGAATCAGTTGCAGAAAAGAGGCATGTAATGGAAAGTGTAACTCATGTACCTGTCCTGGTCTTATTCATGGCGTGCAAAGGCTGGCTTTGCAGCCCAGAGATGAGAGTAAGGTGATGGAGAGATTCTGCCTCCCTCACAAAGAAGTGCTCATATGGCCTTGTCACTGAAGGTCAATATCCCATCTAGGTTTCTTCTTCGGAAGAAAAAATGTGACTTTTCACCCCAAATCCAGAGATGTAAGCAATTATTTCCAAATGTCATTTTCATCAACATGCTAATCCTTGTCCGAGGTTTGTCATCTTAAAATGACTTGCCTTTCCACAAGCTACTTAAACTATCTGATAGAAACCACTTCTCTACAGCCCTTCTGGCTCTGCTACATGTGCAAGTGACACTTCACAGCTGTCAAAAGGAGAAAAGTTTAAAACTTGGGATAATGCTATTATCTGACATCGTACTGTGGCCAGCTTCTACCTCTGTGCCCTCTTAACAGTGCATTACCTCAGAAGCCCCTTTGTCCCTGAGAAACTATCTCAAATGTAGGTCGCAGCACAGTGACCAGCAGCAGAGCTGCTTAGCTGTGGTTATATCAATGTGGACAGTTTAAAGCTGTGTTGGAGTTTGAGAAGAGGTTAATGTGCTTTTAATCCAACTGTGAGCTTCTGCCTTGCTGAAAGCCTGAGTTTTCCCTATCTGGGAATGGTAGGGTTGAAGTTCAAATGAGTTTCAGTCTCCATAATTGTGCGTTGTGGTGAACATAAAGGAGCTAAACTGGTGTTACAGCCAGGATGTATCACTTACTGTCCCTGCACTCACATGGCAGTTGGCCTGGGATGCTGAACTGTATAGACAGATTATTTTGTCTTCTAAATTAATAGACTACTGTGATATACTGCTTGATTACAGATGCAGTTTTAGTGAGTTTGGAAACTAAGAGCAAGCCTGAGAGCCATAAGAAGCTAATGCATGTAACCATTCACGCTCTGTGCAAGAAATCATATTCAACATGAGCTCTATAACACAGGAATATTTTGAAGCCTGATTTGGCATCATGAAATGCTACAGTGAATGAACAAATGCTGATGGGTTGCCATCAGTGTTGCAATAAAATAACTGTAATTAGGGGGGAAACAAATAATAAAAAAGCCTAACTGTATTTAGCAGTTTCTTTATTGTCAGCAGTAGGATGTATATTCTCCTAACAGATTTAGAAACTGCAGTGATAGGTGGTGACTCGTGTTGCTGCTACCATCATTCACTTACATTAGGATGATCTTGATAGGTATTTGCAATTGTTCTCTAGAGAAGCTCTCAATTGTTGTAAGAGAAACTATCCTGCTGTATTGAGTCAGCCACGTGCAATATAACCATTAGGATGGCATGGGATCTCCAGATAATTAGTGAATCAGATTTATTGCCCACTATATTGCCATTCTTTTAAATGTCCACCCTGTTTTTTCCCATGGTGTCTTCTGTCTAGTGCAGTTAGAAAGTAATAGCTTCTTCACCAGCCTTTCCTCTGAGTGTTTGGCTATGGGGAAGGCATCTTCTGTACCCGTACTAAAGGTTGAAAAAATAACGTGAACTTTATTGCTACTTCCAGTTGGGAGCTCAGTCCTTTAGTTACTTGCAGGTGATGGTTCTTACATGAATTCAACCCCAGGAACAAGAAACAACAATGCATGGAATCCTTAGCCAGTTATGATCGCTTCCAATTTAGTATGAATTGGAGTCAGGCATCAGTCAGGAAAACCCCCTTTGTTTGCGTGCAGCACCCTGGCAGAATGTGAGTGCTTTGGCAGGTGTGAGAGGAGAGGCTGGGAATGGTCCAAGCTGACAAGAAGTGACTTCAAGCACGATTCTGGATTTCACAGCAACGTGACAGGAAAAACACCTCCTGTTTCCTGCTTTGAATTGAGAAGTAGATGGCTAAATTTTCTGTATAGGATTCTAAGGATAAATCCAGCTCTTTTCTTTAATTCTGCCTGGCTGTGCAATAGGTGCTGAAAGACTGAGTGCTGCCTTTCGCATCTAAGGAGCTTTGGAAAAGATGTCACTTCTGATAAAAACATTTTTTAGCACAGCGAGCGCTGTATTGTAAAAGGGTTGTGAGGATATGAGAGGAACAGTCAAGGTACCAACAAATGGTGACTTGGTCCTGTGAGAACCAGTGGTGATTTTTCATAAAAACTGTCAGGTAGCACAAAAATAGAGATGGTGTGTGTAGGTTTGTTTTCTCCCAGAAAAAGCAGGAGCAGCTGGTGAAGTAATGCTTTCTAAATCACTTGCCACATGTGAAAAAGATTTAAGAATGGTATTAATCCAGTTAATTGGTCATATAATGCTCTTAAGTTGGGTATAAATTAGTTTACTTCAAGTTTTTAAGGCTGGAGTGTGAGCCATCACTGTACTTGAATAGTTGTCTTAAGCCAGGTGGATTCCACCTCTGTTTTCAGAGGAAACCAACAGCAGAAATGCAGCTCACTTTCCTGAAGTCCCTCTGTTCAGCACGTGCTGTTCCTTCTCCATGAACCAAGTGTTACCAGGATGCTGTGCTGCTTTCCACCAGGCAACTGCTATTTGCCAGTGTTGGACTGAAATACTACATACACAGGATGAAGGGCTTAGCTCTGTCTGCTCCTGTAAGGCTCCAGTGGTGCAAAGTTGCATGCAAGTCCTTAATTTCCTGTTCTAAGTATGCTAAAATGAATGCTGATATGAATTGTGTAGTGTTTAATGTATAAATAGGTTTGCAGGACCTACTGTTTAGCTACCAACACTTCACGTGAATGAACATAGACTTGCAGCATTATGAACAAAAACTTCAAATTTCAAAGGGGCACAAGAATATAGATGTGAGAACGTGAGTAAAATATGCATAACTTATAAACATTATTTGTAAGTAGCTTAATAAAGCATTTATATTTAGCTTCCATATGACATAACAGCAATGGCTTGAGGAGGAATAAAGCCTGAGGAACTGATGCTCAGGGACTTTGGGGAAGTGATTCTGTGCAACTCCTCCATCCTACATAAGACCAGCCAACCAGTAGTGCTCACAGCTGGGGGTGTGCTGCCTGTTGCAGGTTTACAGCAACTTTTTGCTGGCTAGCTGACAGTCAGGTAAGTGTTCTTTAATGTCTTCCTGCTCTGGGCACCAAGTCTTACTAATTATTGCTCAGTAGTGCCTTATGATAAGGTTGTGTTATTTTGTTTGGTAACAAAACATGATGGCTGGGAAACAGCTTGGAGCTGTAGTTACGGGGCAGACTTTGGGCAGTGATATATAACTTGCTGATGCAACTTTGCTAGTAAATTAGAAAGAGGAGAGTGTGGAAGTTGAAATATGCTGTGTTCCTGTAGGTACATCATTTGTGGGTTTGAAATGAATGGCAATACATTCTGCTCTATTTGCTCTAACTTGCTACAAATTGCACAGAACTATTTGGGTGAGATACCAGAATAAAACCCAAATAACTGTGCTCAGAAAGCTAACTTTAAACACTAACCTTAAAGACACATTCTCGTTTCCCCAGAAACTATTTTTATGGACTTGCTAACAGCTCTATACTAGAAATCTTTTGCATGACAGTAATAGAATTATGGAATGGTTTGTGTTGGAAGGGACCTTAAAGATCATTTAATTCCAACCCCCTGTCATGGGCAGGGAGACCTCCCACCAACCCAGGCTGCCCAAAGCCCCATCCAGCCTGGCTTGAACACTTCCAGGGATGGGGCATCACCACCCTCATAGTAAAGTATTTCTTCATAAATTCTTCCATACTTCAATGGC